AAAATAGTTGTTTTAAGATTTTTGAGATTGTAGAGCTGTTCACAAGATTTATGAAGTAAAACAATTTTATTTTTCGTAGCAGCATTTGAAAGATATTTTTTTAGAGGGTCTGCGAGTATATCTATGAGTTACATTGTGGAAATTTGAACACAAGATGGACAGTGAAGTTTAGTGAGAAGAAAGAGGTATTGAATGTTGGAATGTTGTGATTCATTCATTTTAAATAATAGATGAGTGAGGAGAAAGTTATTGAGAGTTTGGTGACTGTTTCTTGGTGAATGAAGTATTTATTGCAACTCTTCAATCTATGCTAACTTGCTAACATTGAGTTATTTGAAGACTAGAAAGGTATTGTTTCAATCTATTTTTTTCCCTTTTTTCCCTTTTTTTTTCCAGTCAATTGATGTTTCAAGGTATCACATGCAGAAGTTTGCTATTTAACAGAGCTTTGCAGGGGTTCTAGATCATCGTTTTTGTAGAGGATAGCTGTTAATTATATTTTTATTTGATGGTGTATCAAACAAAGCATTTATCTTGATAAGAGAAGGGTCGTTATGACAATTGCCTGATTGGACAAACTGAATCAGTATCAGTTCTCAAATCAAAAGAATCACACTTCAGAACTTTGTCAACTTTACTGTTGTTTTTGTGTTGAACACGCTAGAGCCGAGTAGTTTTCATAAAAAGAGCCTTCAGTACAGGTTAGTATCTGACGCCAATCAAATCATCTTCCAAACTTTTGTCATGTGCTCGGATTTTGTTGAGCAGTGGATTGAACTTTTGAATAGATTTTTTTGGTTAAGTTATAGTCGATGGATGCTAATCAATAGTTATTTTGTCCTCTTTATATTTTCGATAATCATGACCTATTGCTAATAATTGGATGTTTGGTGTGCGCGCGGGGGTGGGTTTTCCTAGTATCATATTTGAAGTCGCAGGTTTTGGCATGTCGATAAAGCTAATTCGTGACAGCTTGATAAAAGTTCTAAAGAGATGACTGTATGTTTGATGGGTCAATTAAAGGTTGTATTTGTTGATGCTGGCTCAAGCTGCAACCAACTGAGTGTAATCAACACAAACAAGTACCTCGGAAGACTAGCCACTAGGCAATTTAAGTGTCCGCATTAAATTGTTATTATACTTGGACTATGAATTTTGCTGCACATTACCATACATGTGAATTTGACCAGACCTCTGATATTATTCTAGTTACCATCAATCTAGATAGATGCAAAATTTATGTGTGCAGCTTCTATCTGCTGTATTGTTCTCCCCAAAGTTTCCTTTTCGCTTGTGCCCCCTCTCACTCTCTCTACTCTGTTCCAGATCAGTTCAAGTTGTTGGTAACAGTCATGTGCTGATCCTGAGCATCTGCTGATTGGTTAATATCCTTAACATGAAATGCTATATATGTCTTCTTTTATTAGCTTAACTAAGCGAAACCTTGAAAAATGCATTCACCGCTGCGTCAAATATGCTGATTTTACCACCCGCGGGTGGGACTCATGGTCAGCAGCTCTCCATGGAGGAGTGTATCTCTCCAGGCTATTGCCCGTTGTTGGTCAGGAGTTCGAATCCTCGTAGCCGCATTCACCTGGTTTCCCTTGGTTTAAGGATGGGGACGGAAACCCGGGGTTTTATTGGTCACCAAATCCAGCTCGGCCCGTTGTATGCTCACCAGTTCGCGTCCCAGTGGTCCCCACGCTGCTCGCCCGCGCTCTGCCCGTGGGGATGAGCCCCTGGTATTAAGGGTAGCTCCTTGTATATGTGAAGGGAACAAGGGGAATCGAACCAGGGCCGCTGGCGGGGCTCCGAAGGAGTTAAACTGAGCTGGGGTGACCAAGTTTCCCTTGTCATCAAAAAAAAAAATATGCTGATTTTGCTTTACGTCCTGTAACCCAAAGCAAACTATAGGAAAACATATGGCCATGTCGCTCAATCACCATGATGATGTAATCATAACAATCTCTTTGTGTATTCCTGTCTTTGAACAATGTGTTTGCTTCGTAGGTGTACCACTCTAGTTTTGTGGATGAGGAAGGAATGACCAAAGCTTGTGGGTGCCCTCTTCTTCCACTGAAAAGTCATATCAAGGGTCCTGCTCCAGAATCTGATCAAGGTTTTCCACTGATCCTCGGCTCCTCTAAACTTCTTTTCTCATACATTCTATATGTTATTTAGTTTCTTTCAATTAATGGCAGATAAAATCGACATTGTTGATGAAGCTATATCTTTCTTTCGGGCCAATGTCTTCTTTAGAAACTTTGACATTAGAAGCTCAGCCGACAAGCTCCTTATTTACTTGACATTTTACATCAACGTGGCCTTAAAGCGGCTTGAGGGTTGCCGAACATTGGCAGTTGGAACAAAGGCAATCATCACTTTGGGCCTTGAGAATATCCCAGTGCCTGGAGAGACAGGCTTTCCTTTCCCTGGTCTCTTTTCCCTTCCTCAGTCTGAGGAAGAAGCTGGTATGTTTCATTGTTTAGTGTTATCTCCTTTCAAAATTTCCCCCTTCCCTAATAATACATACTTGCGGTATTCCGTAAATTTATAATATCTTAAAATGCTATTTACCATTGATAATGGGAAAGAAGAAGCCTTCAAGAAGTAGTTAACCATGATGATTATTTGTCATTTCCCCCCCAAGGAAAGGTACCAACTATCAACAAATGTGAAATCCATATAGAAAGTAGGTGGATGGTTAGGCAACAGGGGAAAAGTGTCAGTTTGCCTATTCTTTTGGCCAATAGAGCCTGTGTAATTTGATAAAAGCAGGTGTGTGTGTGCGCCTCTTTTATGCAGAAAGCTTAAATAAAAAAGTAGCTTTCTGTAAGATTAGAAATTTGTAATGGCTATTTGGCTTCAACAAACTTTCATGGTCAAACAATCTAATAAGACATCAGTTTCCTTTCTGTGGTTTGAAAATTTTTCTTATAAATTGTTATTTTTCCAATCTACAGAGTTATTCAGGAGTTATTTGAGGCAAATCAGGGAAGAGACTAGCGGTAGATTGTTGAATTGTGCTTACCGACCTAATGGAACTCCAAACAAATGGTGGTTAGCATTTGCAAAGAGGAAATTCATGAACATCATCGTTCCAGAGTCATCGACCTCTCATGGGAGGAAGCCTGGGTACCATGGCATGTTGTGATCAACATCAAGTTGCATCTTATCTTCGTTAAAAAGATTTTACAGGATACATACAAAATTTCATTAAAATGATTGTAATACTAGTGCTGTATATAACTTTTGGTGAAAGGATGATGTTAATAAACTGGACCCCTTGTTGAAAATAAGATCAAGCCTTTATACAAGTAGGATGTTGCGGTTCATAATCTGAATTTTTTTTAGTTGGATATGCCTTCTGATTTTGCGTTTGAACTTTGGCATGTTGCTGATGCCTTGGTTCTAATTTCAGATTATTTCATCCAAAAATGATTATGCTGCCCCCATGTTGGTTTTTACTTTTTTTTTTTTTTTTTTTTTTGGTTTTTTTTTTTTTTTTTTTTTTTTTTTTTGGAGAGAATGGTTGTTTACGTTTATGCTATGTTCACTGCAATATATCTTTCAGAATTAAATTTTTATCCAGTGCAATGTATCTCTCAAATAGAAATTTAATTACTTAATGATGTCAATGGGGGAATGTCAGGGTACAATTCTGTTTAGAGGAGCGTGCATGGGAGCATGTTGTTCTGATTCACAAATTGGGGAGGAGCAATTACCAAAGTACCCCTACCCTGCATTTCATTTTGAAATTTACTCAAAACAAAAACTGAACCTTAAAACACCCCCTAGGCCGAGCCAGCGGTAAGAGCAACCCAAACGCACTTGACGTTGCACGCAGCCTTGCATAAGATTGGGCCGGGGTCGATGAGGCCGATGAGACCCGTGGCTCGAGGTGCGGTCGTGCAATGGTACTGAAGGCACCGGTCAGAACAAGTCTTGGGCTTATCGCAGTCGCCGGAGTCATCTTCATCGCAATCCTCACCGGCAGCTAATGAGCTCTGTGCAACGAGTGAGATTATAAGGAGGGCTGCGATTAGGAGCGCTCTCCTTGCTTTTGCCTTCATCTGTATCGCCGCGGCGGTAGAACTGCTGTAGATGAATCTGTGTAGATTCTGGTTCCTGGAGGAGGACGAGAGTTTTTTAAGGAGTCACGTTGAAGGGGATGTTTCATCCATGTTACGTTACGGTTTTGGACAAATTTTCAAAACCGACTCATTTAGACTTTTATTCCCAAAAAATATCTCCATTCAAAAAAAATTATAAAAACCGACCTGATTCCAGCCTCAGCGTTGAAACCAGGTCGGTTTTTGAAGAAAAAAAAATCTGAAACTTCACGGGAGTTCAGGAGTTGAACTCCCATGAAGTTTAGTAGATCTGCTAAAATTTCACGGGAGTTCAACTCCCGTGAAGTTTCATAGTTCAAAAAAAATTAAAATCAGGTCGGTTTTTGCAATTTTGTTTGAATGAGGTCCTTTTTTGAGATTAAGTTCAAATGAGTCGGTTTTGAAAATTTGTCCTTACGTTTTTTCACTAGTAAAGACATACAATGAAGAGAAATATAGCTGATTTTATTTAAGTCGATCTTTATTTAACTTCACTTTCATTGTACATACGGACGGTAATGACAAGGTTATAACTGATTTTAAATCTGAGATGTTCCGTAATCCAACAAATTAACTTCATTTAGTATGGAGCTAAAACTTTACCGGTAAAAGCTCTGTAGTCTAATTGGTTAATTTGGTAGATATCAGATGGCTTGATAAGTTGATAAGATAAAAATAAGGAATTTGGATCTTCTCCACTAAAAAAAATGTAGCAGAGAGAGACTATTGCTTTTAATCCTAACTATTAGTTATCTAGTGGGCAATTGTGATGCAATCTAAATCTAACACTCCTCATCATGCACCATTGTATTGCACTCATTCTTGATTTGACAGCAGAGTTAACATTAATAATTCAGTGACTTACTGGTCACCCTCGCATTTTATTTACTTAGCAGCCAGCATGCGTGTAATCCGAGTAGTGCAGTGGATACGGATTATTTCTTCTTATTTTGAGAAAAATATTACTTCTCTTTACATCCAGTTTTTATAATTTCTTTCTGAAAATCAACGTTCGTATCGGACACATGGCAACATTAGGGGAAAATATTTGAGATACCCAGTATATATATATGAATGAACCTAGCATATCTGAACCCCTGAAACATTATTGCGAGATGCAACATCTGATTCCCAATAAAAAAAGGAAAAAAAAAACTATTTAACGACATTGAAGGTAGAAATTTCTTAACGAAAACAAGAATTGCAACCATTAGTTCTTGCAGGCATCACCTCTACATATGCCGTACGCATAATGACCTCAAATACTTCAATCTGACGCGCCTGTGGTAAGCGTATCCCAAACACACCTGAGATTGCACGCGAACTTGCAGAAGGTGGGCCCCGGGTCGACGAGCCCGATGAGGCCCGTCGACCGAGGGGCTGTCGTGCAATGGCGAAGGCACCGGTCGGCACAACTCTTCGGCTCTTCGTCGACGGAATTATCGTCGTCCGAAGCCTCATGAGCCACTGACACCTGAGCAACAAGCGAGATCATGAGCAGTGCTGCGATTAGGAGCGCTCTAATTGCTTTTGCCTCCATGGGTATTTTGTTCTTGAACTTCCTATTCATAAATTATATATAAATGTTTTTTTTTTCGTTGTTGCAAGAGGAGGAACAGAGGGTTTTTAAATAGGAGATGGTAAGAGCTAGGGGGAAGAGTCATTAATAATGGTGGACGTTTCATTCATATTGAAGACGTTAAAGTTAAAGAGAATTAAAAAAAAACATGAATTGGTATTTGTTAAACTTTTGATTTTCGTAATGTTTGTACTCGCAACATTCAATTAGCTGGTAACGACAGGGTATATAACGTACGGATTTAAATATTATACGTGGTTTCTTTAGGATTGTGATAAGTTTCAGACTTAAATATTATACGCCATGCATATTGATTTATAAATTAGACAATATAGCCTAGTGATGACATTTCTTTCTGCATGCAAAATCAAATGTCATAAGTTCCAAGCCTAGTTAATCCATATAGGTGAATTAATATGGCTGAGACTCATTTAATAACACACACTTAGCTTGTATCGCATCATAGATGAGACACTACGGGTCAAACGTTCTTGCACTACATCAAAACTCTGGAGTTCTAGGAAGAGTTTTATACTATAATATATCCATATAGGTTGAGTGATGCCCTTTTCGTGAGGAAATTAAACCATGGCTCACACAATGACATCTTTAATTTACCCCCTCTAAAATCTACTTTAATTCACTACTAGTAGGAATTGATCTATGTCGTTGCTATGCTACCATGTCAAAAATCGATTGATACTAAAGATGTACAGATAGCTCCGGAGGTCTTGTTAGGCCAACCCCCCCTCTAAAATCTACTTTAATTCACTACTAGTAGGAATTGATCTATGTCGTTGCTATGCTACCATGTCAAAAATCGATTGATACTAAAGATGTACAGATAGCTCCGGAGGTCTTGTTAGGCCAACCCTTATGCTCTAGTTTAATGTTGTAACTAAATGCTGGCATTTGGACTGCATGGCAAAAACTTAGGTGTATGTTTGGCAACTACCCTAAATTTGGGTCAGACTAGCCCTTGGCTTTTTTAAACACAATTAATTTGTTTTGGACCAAGGGAGGGATGGTTCAAAACAAAACCAGCTTAAAGGCCAAATTTGGCCTAAGAAAGATTGAGCCAAAGTTGGCCAATGTTATCCAAACAAAATTTTGCCCAAAATGAGGTCAGGTTTGAACCTGATCCCATTTTGTGGAGTTGCCAAACACATCCTAAAATATCCCAACTCTATATTAAGACTATCAGAGCCGAGAGTCCAGACTCCAGACACAACACGACAAAACCAAAATCAACAATGTTAATTACAGTGTCACTAGTAGAAAAATGAGCAACCTAGACGGAAATTTCCGTCTAGGTTGCTCATTTTTCTACTAGTGACACTGTAATTAACATTGTTGATTTTGGTTTTGTCGTGTTGTGTCTAGAGTCTGGACTCTCGGCTCTGATAGTCTTAATATAGAGTTGGGATATTTTAGGATGTGTTTGGCAACTCCACAAAATGGGATCAGGTTCAAACCTGACCTCATTTTGGGCAAAATTTTGTTTGGATAACATTGGCCAACTTTGGCTCAATCTTTCTTAGGCCAAATTTGGCCTTTAAGCTGGTTTTGTTTTGAACCATCCCTCCCTCGGTCCAAAACAAATTAATTGTGTTTAAAAAAGCCAAGGGCTAGTCTGACCCAAATTTAGGGTAGTTGCCAAACATACACCTAAGTTTTTGCCATGCAGTCCAAATGCCAGCATTTAGTTACAACATTAAACTAGAGCATAAGGGTTGGCCTAACAAGACCTCCGGAGCTATCTGTACATCTTTAGTATCAATCGATTTTTGACATGGTAGCATAGCAACGACATAGATCAATTCCTACTAGTAGTGAATTAAAGTAGATTTTAGAGGGGGGAAATTAAAGATGTCATTGTGTGAGCCATGGTTTAATTTCCTCACGAAAAGGGCATCACTCAACCTATATGGATATATTATAGTATAAAACTCTTCCTAGAACTCCAGAGTTTTGATGTAGTGCAAGAACGTTTGACCCGTAGTGTCTCATCTATGATGCGATACAAGCTAAGTGTGTGTTATTAAATGAGTCTCAGCCATATTAATTCACCTATATGGATTAACTAGGCTTGGAACTTATGACATTTGATTTTGCATGCAGAAAGAAATGTCATCACTAGGCTATATTGTCTAATTTATAAATCAATATGCATGGCGTATAATATTTAAGTCTGAAACTTATCACAATCCTAAAGAAACCACGTATAATATTTAAATCCGTACGTTATATACCCTGTCGTTACCAGCTAATTGAATGTTGCGAGTACAAACATTACGAAAATCAAAAGTTTAACAAATACCAATTCATGTTTTTTTTTAATTCTCTTTAACTTTAACGTCTTCAATATGAATGAAACGTCCACCATTATTAATGACTCTTCCCCCTAGCTCTTACCATCTCCTATTTAAAAACCCTCTGTTCCTCCTCTTGCAACAACGAAAAAAAAAACATTTATATATAATTTATGTATAGGAAGTTCAAGAACAAAATACCCATGGAGGCAAAAGCAATTAGAGCGCTCCTAATCGCAGCACTGCTCATGATCTCGCTTGTTGCTCAGGTGTCAGTGGCTCATGAGGCTTCGGACGACGATAATTCCGTCGACGAA